GACTCAGAAACCATGTGCCCCAGCCCCCGCCCCATTTGTCTGCTGTTAAGAAATCTGATGGCCCGTGGCTGCGGTTTCCACTTGTTTAAAGCTACTGAGGTGGCGGAGAAGCACCTGCCTCACTTCTCCGTGGAAATGAAATCCAGGGGACATTGCGGGAGTCGCTCATCCCTTCCCCATCTTTGAAGAAGCCGAGGCAGGCACGGACGAAATGTCGGAGGAGCCGCGGCCGCGCGTTTTTGTGCACAGTTCACGCTCTTCCCACGCTGGCGCTGCGGTGCCATCTCCGTGGCCCGGCTCGCTCCTCTGCCTCGTCATCCAATGGACACACGAGCGGGGATCCTGTGTCCGGTGGGTCCCGTTAAGCCCCTGGTGCCGGCGTGATGCTGTTCTCCCGCTTGCTCCACCCCACAGACGTGGTTCGGCAGCCCGCGGGCGAGGCTTATCGGGCCTGGTTGGAAACTTTTACTGAAGCGAAGGGACAGCGCCGGCCCGAGGGCGGCTGTCTCCGGGCCAGGCCGGGCCCTCCCAGCCCTCTTCTAGGTGCCTCGCGACCCTGGCGGGAGGGAGAGGCCTGTGCCTGTGGGGCCGGGGAGAGGCGGGGCCGAGGGGGGCGCCCCTGCTCCGTCACAGACCCGCGGCCCGGCCTGGCCCAGACAGCTGGAGCCCACCCGGTCGCTTAGGAACGGGACGCGGAGATGGCGGCGGGCGCCGGGCAGCGGGTGAGCCGGGGAGGCCGCAACTCTGGGCCGGGCTACAAGTCTCCTCCGCCCCCGCGGGGCCTCCAGGAGCTTGCTCCGGTCTTTTTGTAACCTGGGGTAAGCGGGGCCGGGGGCAGATCCGCCGCCCGACCCCCAGCCCTGCGGGCGGGTCACAGCCAGGCCATGCCCCCGCAGGGCCGCGACGCGCCTTTCCGCCGCCCGGCTAGGCTGGGGCAGGGCTGCCGGGCGGCCCCCTCCCCCCACGGGCGCCAGAGCAAGGCAGCAGAGGGGGTTTGTTTGGCACGTTTTGTGTCTCGGGTCGGATAATGAGGAAGGGGCTGGG